AAAAAAAAAAAAAAAGAGGAACTAACACAACGTGATTTCAATGTGAAGTCAAACACCATTATGAAGATAATTATTTGATTTGTACTTTTAATTTGCATCTTAAAAGCTTTTATTCAAAGAAAAAATAAAATAAATAAATGAGACATAGAAATTTAGGGGTGTAGTGAAAGAAGATTTGAGTAGTGTATTTATTTCTTTTACCTTATCAAGAAAAATTTCTCTTGCAATAAATGTTTTGGGAAATGCCATAGTCCCGTTACTGAATCATTTTGTCGGAATTTATAATTGTTAGATCATTATATAACCGTAGTTGATAGTTGATCCAACGGTTACAAACTCCGACGAAATGATTCCGTAACGGAATCGTAAAATCTCTCAAAAACTTTAGGCTTTATTTCTGTAAGATGATTGTTTGTTTAAATAGCGTTTTGGCAAGAATCTAGTTTTTTTAACGAGTTTAGCCTTTTCACTTGGTCAAAACAGCAGAAATTGATGTTTGGTTAAAGAGCTTTTTGTTTTGGCTTATTGGGTGAATAAGCTGAAAATAAAAACGCTGCAATTTCAAACGTTTGCAACAACGGATTTAATAAATTTTTCATTTATTTCATTACTTTTGCACTAACTAATTTGGATAAACTTTTTTTGTTTTACTAGTAGATTTGACGGTTTTTATTTTTTGATATTGAAAATTCCACACAACAATAGCATTCAGTGTTGGATGCTTCATTTTTTAATCTCCATTTCTTTAACAAAACACAATGTATTAGATTCTTTTATAGAATCATTTACTAAGTGCGAAAAAAAAATTGGGAAGATAACATATTATTATCATTAAATTTTCAAAAACTATTTTATTATTTCAAAACTATTTATTTTTATGTTTATTTATAGTTTATTTCACTTATTATTTTTACTATATAAAATATTCAAAAATAATTTGAAAATAGTTATTATACAAAAAATATTTGTTTTATAAATAATTAAACGAATATAACCAATGTATATTTATATAAAAATAATTCTCAAGTAAATAATACCAAATATATTTTTACGGATCAATAAGCTACTTTTATCAAACATATTTTTTTAAAACCGTTATTAGTATTCGTTGGTCAAACTAGTTGATACAATCTACTGGTCAAAACAGCTATTACAATCGGTTAACCGTTGACTATCAAACAAGACCAATTTAGACCATCATTATTAATCATAGAAATTTAGGCGTTTAGTTAAATGAAAAATTTGAGTTCGTGTATTTATTTCTTTTACCTTCTCAGAAAATTTTCTTCTTGCAATAAAAGTTTTAGGCTTTATTTTTGTAAGGTGATAACTTTAGACCATCATTATTATTAGTAGTATTAAATCAATTTACAGAAAAGTATGTGAACTGATTATTGTCGTAGTCACTGGTCAGTGGTCACACCAACTACATTCAAAACGTTTGGAAAAAGAAAAAAGGAAGGCAAATTTGAAGTCTGCGATTTAATCCACACGAATGGTCTACAATACGATTTTCATTTTATGTCTACAAAGCTCTTGAAAAGGATATTGAATAGCTGAATTAATAAATTGAATCGTTATTTATCGCCCCTTTTACTTAATCAATAATGCTATGGAGCTAATGTTTGGCTCCCTTATGGAGCCAACCACCAATCAAACATCTCAACATGGGGATGTCCCACATTAAATTATGGA